TACATGTATTTTTCTAAAGATGGTATTTTAGTAATTTATGCAGAGAGTGACATGGATATTGTAGTCAAACATAATCTCAACTCTCAAGTATTGATCATATAATCGTATCTTAATTAATTATTCCTATATAATTAGTCACGTGGTTATTATAATATTATATGAACGAATTAGTATATAATATAAAATAGCTTGCTAATAGTGATCTAATTTAAATTGGGTTATTTATCTTCAATTAGTGGATTTCTTCTGTTAGCAGTAAAATTCGAAAATGAATTGTAGCTAAATGAATTTAAGCAACCAAAAACAATTGCACGTAACAAGTCTGTAATTTTGGAACTTTTTTTTTATAATTATTTAGTATATAAAGAGATTTTATGAGTTGAGTACTGAGTGTCCCATTTTGACAAATGAACGAAATCTTGGGCTCGTTATAATAAAGTTTAAGTTAACTTTTGAGATAGATATAGGGTGAGCTAGGCTCAAACTTAATTTAACATAGTATACGAGCCAAACCCAAGTGCCCCCCTTGGAAACTTGGCACAAGATGGAAATAGCTCCGGTCCAACGTGCATGCACCAGGCCAAACAATGGGAACCACCGATATATAAAAGAATGTTCGGATCTGGGCGTGGAGGGATAATGAATGAAATTCTGGGCTTTTTATAATGCTTGAGCAATCCTCTTTCTTTTAAGCTAACTTTTGAGGTGTGAATTAGGTTCAAATCTAATTTAACAACAAAGATAAGTGTTTTATACACAAAACAAAAAGACCTTAGCTTGTGATTAAAATAGTCAAAGTCTCAAAGATGAGTAACTTTTGTGATATAAAGAAATAACTTTGCTAATTTATTTTTACTAGTTGAATAACTATTTAAGAAATCAATTTCATAAGATGACCTATGAATAATATATATTTTTTTACCTTTTCTATCCATCTTTACTTGTGTACTTTTTAAGAAACAATAAACAGAAACATAATTTTACATCACTTCTATTAATTCTAAGTCATCTAAATGCTGAAAAATGAATAATAATAATACTCAATAACAAAGGTAAAATAGATACAAAATGATAAATTGTTTCTTGATTTTCTAAACTGACAAATTAAATCAAACAATTATTTTTAATATACTGAACAAATAAAAATGAACGGAGCCGACAATATTTCTTTTCCTAGAAGCTAAGAATAACCTGGTTTAGATCCTATTCCAAACGAATGTAAAGATGTTACTGTTCTCATGCATGAAAGGGTATATAATATAGTCAACATCTTTGCATGCTTTTGATGTCAAATTAAAGGACGTGTCAGTCTACATATTTAACCTTATATATATATCAACTAAGGACAAATTAAAGAGCACTTTTACGTATTATACATATATATTTTGTTCTGCAAGTATAACCTTGTCTATGTGGCATGTCAACTAAGCATACACGTAGATTAAACACACTTCCACGTGGCATGCACACACTAAATTTTGTTTATTCAAGAAAGAGTGAATTTATTCCCACCAAAAGTATATATACAAATATATATACTTTTGACATGTGAAGTTAATTTTGGAGCCAAGCATATGGCTTTGCACATTCTTCATGTCAAAGTCACACTTCCTAACGTGCCTAAATGAGTGCACACTTGGCTCATTCCTATATATAAGCATTTTGTTACCTTACCTATCATAACATTAATCTTCAGATCTTATCAAAAGATGTACAAATATACATCTAGCTCATATTTCAAGTTTTCTCTAAGTAAAATATAGTATGTCTGGAATTTTTTAAGATTATTGGGTTCGAGAAAAGAAGGTTGTGTTCAGATGGAGATGATGATGGTGATTATGATTATGCACCAGCAGCATGCTTAGAGAGAGACGGTGATGATGATGGAGATTATAATTATGCTCTTGCAACATTCTTGGAAGGAGACAACGATGATGATCAAGATTATGACTATGCTCCTGCAACATCATTAGACGGAGATGATGATGGAGATTATGATTATGCTCCGACCGCATGAATAAGTTCATTGAAGGCCTTGGTAGAGACAAATTTAGAATAGAAACAACATTATTGGTCAAACTTACTGTTGTCTAATTCAAACATAAGGAAGTTTAGTTGGAAGAATTAAGGACCTTGGTTTTAATAATCCTAGTCTTTATTAGAAAGAAAAAAGAGGACACATGTAGGTTTATATATAGTTTATTAGATGTATTTTTTAAAGTATTTTACTTTGAATGAATATTTATCTAGTTTTTAAAATTCACTTTCTGGCTCGATCATTTACTTCTTTTAGTGAAGTATTGATAAATGGAATGTCCCACATTGAAAAATAAATAAAATCTTGGGTTTCTTTTATAAAATTTAGACAATTCTCTTATCTTTGATCTAATTTTTGATATGTGAGTTAGACTCAAATTTAATTTAATATGATATCAAAGCTAGACTTGATGTGGACCTCAAAAACCCTGACACGGTGGTGGAAGGACCTCCGGTCCATAAACGTGAACGCACCGAACTAGCTAGACAATGGAACCTCATATAAAAAATATATCGGTTGAAATTAGCCATTGAAGAGCTTCGAAGCTCAAATTTTAGAATTTGATCTGGCACAAACATGAGTTGAGTGAATTGTATATCAAAAGGCTCGAAACGTTGAGAGGAACTCATATCTAAATTTTGGGACTGTTTAGAGGAGATTTGAGTTGGTTGAGATTGAAAAACATAAATCGTTTCGTGTGAATAATTTAATTTATCAAAAGACTCGAAACATTGACAGGAGCTCATATCTAAATTTTTAGACTGTTTAGATACGATTTGAGTTGGTTGGGATTTTTAAAAAAAAAATCATATGCCATGTATACTTTATTATATAAATAATATATTTAGATGTATATAAATCTCTTATACATTAATATACATTATTTATACATAATTATTTATTATTTATACAATATTACTACATTATATATATGTGTGTGTGTGTATGTATTACATATACATATAGTCATTTTGTTTAAATTAATTTTTGTTGTTTGTATATATTGATAATTAATCCATTAAAGACCGTGTGACTGAAATATCAAAAGATGAATGATTTTTCTCATATAAAAAGTGACTTTGCACAAATTAATTTTTAATATATAGTTGAATGAGTATTTAAGAAATCAAATCCCTAAGATGACTTGTGAGAAAATTAGTTGTGGAGTATTTCTGTTTTCCCAAAAGCTAAGAATAACTCTTTTGAATATCCTGATTTAGAACTTCTTCCAAAAAAATGTATGAAATTAAAGGGTATGTAATATAGTCAACCTCTTAAAGTTGAATACTCATGCACAAAAAATTGTCGATATCTTTGCATGCTTTTGATGTCAATTTATCCTATCTATGTGGCATGCCAAGTAAGCGTCCACGTAGATTAAACACACTTCCACGTGCCATGCACACACTAAACTTGTTTTTGGCTCATTTAAGATAGAGAGAACTTATTCTTACCAAAATATATGGAGAATATGTAACCTTTTAACACTCATTATATATAAAAAATATATATATATTATGACATGTAAAGTTAATTTTGGAGCTAAGCATATGGCTTTGCACATTCTTCATGTCAAAGCCACACTTCCTAACGTGCCTAAATGAGTACTTACTTGGCTCTTTCCTATATATAAGCATTTTGTTACCTTACCTATCATAACATTAATCATCACATCTTATCAAAAGAGGTACAAAAATACATCTAATATATATCTAGCTCATATTTCAAGATTTCTCTAAGTAATTATAGAATGTCTGGAATTTT